TAAAATATGCACTTATACAATAAAACTAACTAACAATAAAATAAAATGAACTAAAATAAATAAAAAATAAAAAATTCGAACTAGTGCTAAATTGAATAAAATTAAACGAATACTCAATCCCCGGCAACGGCGCCAAAAATTTGTTCACGAAATAATTCTTTCGATTTAAAACTATCGTAAGTGTACGGTTCGTAACAAGTAATAAAGTGGATTTTAAAAAGTCCGAATATCGTTCCTCAGAGATTGAGTAGTTCAATTCTATATAATCTAGCCTTAACCGAATCTAATTGAGTGAAAATATGGTCTAAATGCAAAAAACCCTAATTTCAATTAAAAACCCTAATTTCAACTAAAAACCCTAATTTCAATTGAAAACCCTAATTTCGAAATTTCTCTAATTAAATGATTCAAACACTCAAGTAAATGAAATTAAGCAAGTTTAAAAGCTAATTTATGGAAATGAATCAAACTAAAGTCACTAGGATCTCGAATCCCCAATTGAAATTATAAAAACCCTAATTTCATAAAATTAATGATTCAATGAAAATTTGCCAATTCAATTTTCCTAATTCTATCCAATATACTCTCTCGATATATATTAGATCTATTCTTGCACACCACCAGCCTATATCTCTATGGATGATGCAAACATACAAGAATGCATGTAGTTTTGTGAACAATTTAAGAATTGCATAAAGTATAGGGGTATATCTCTATCCCCTATCGGACCCTATGTTAATTTACACCTTATCGAACCCATTCCACTTCTCTCGAATGTAAGAAACAAGTCATCAACACTCACACAATCATTGGTCACTAATTGCGGAAGAAAATTAATGCATATAAATCAATCAAATTATCCAAACGAGTCTTTATATTTAATTAATGGAATATGGAATTAAAATAACAAACAACGGTCATCGATCACCTAGTAATTGAAAACCTAGCCTAGAAAGAGTTTCAATTAAAAACGGAAGTTCAGATTTTTTTTTTCGAAATTAAGGCCATGCGGCCGCATGATTCAATTTTTTAGCTCAATTAAAACCCTGCTACACCATGTGCGGCCACAAGGAATTATAACCATGCAGCCGCATGGTTATAGAAATTTTTTCGTCGGATAGTTTTCAGTATTTTGGTCATACTTTCTCTCCCGATCTTCGATTGAAGTGATTCAAAGTGCATTGGGAAGAAAACTCAAAGATATACACTTTTGATAGAAATAGGCTTCTTCAAATTCTGATGTTTACCATGCCAAAAATGGATCTCAAGTAGATACTCAAAATTACAAGCATAACTTTTTCGCCTGAAAGTTGATAATTAATAATATTTCGACCATATTTCACCTCTTGACTCCTTTCCTCATCCGATTGACCTCTAACACTCTTGAATCTTCATTCCATTTCCCATCTCATCTATGGATTATTTGTAACTTGGTCCCCGAACTATCGCTTTGTTCCGTTTTGGTCATTTTTCGGCTCTTTTCTTCTGAATTTCATCTTTTCCATAGAACACCTACATTGCATGAATTTAACGAGATTAAGTCATAATTCAACTACTTTGTCCATATTTAAGTCATGTTTGTGGGCTAAATAAGCGTGTAAAAATACACTTATCAGTGTGTACTGTTTCCTCATTTTTTTTCTATTGTATTGTGACAGTTGAAGTTATATTCGATTGAATTTATCAAAAGTTCAATATCCCGTACTTTGAAATTTTCTCATCATTCATATGCACGGTGGTAATGTAAAAATTGAAAACAATACAACAAAATTGACATTTTTGTGCAACATTTGTATTTTTTTTTCAATAATGCTAGTTGTACGATGTTGGGTTACACTGTTAGGCTACAACCTTACGTGGATGGTTAAGATTAAATGGTGTGGACGGTTCAGATTACAAAAAGAGAGAGAGAGAGAGAACCCAGCTGTGGCGCAAAATGAGATGAAACCCACCTTTCCTACACCCGGTTCACACAAAATTCCAGTCAAATCCCTGGCCAATCCCATCGACATCACCGACAACTCTCCATCCCGGCCATATTGTAGCACTTTGGCATGAGCGACACCATCTTATAGAAGAATCCAGCATTTTCCCCAAAGTAGTTTTAAAGAATAACCCAGCATTTCTGTCCTTTCTCTTCATTTCAACTTTTGCCAATGTCCAAAGTAAGAGCCTTTTATTATCATTTTGGTCCTTCCTTTAATCTCAAGACAGATCTTTAGATGAATGGTTAATTCATGGCTTGGAAGTGGCAAATAGCATGAAAAATTTGATCTGTTTTAACGCTTGTGCAGAGAATGCTTTTCCGAATTCTGGACTTTACTTGAGCCTATTGCCATTCTGTATATTGGAAGCTGATATCTTCATTTGTTTGAATGTTCTGGAACGTATATTATTTTACCATGGTTGTGTATTAGAATTATATCTGGTGTATAATTTGATCATGATACTTGATGTTTGTCTACGACGTACAATATGAATTTTTTACTCTCATTTTTATGATGATGGAATTTTTGAAGTAGTTCAATAATGAACCAAAGAACAAACAATATCCAATACATTAAGGGTCCCAATTCTGTCACCATTTATATGACAGCCAAGTTTTGACTACAATAATGGAGCCAAACACAACCAACATCTTCAGCTCTACTTGTTTCATTCTGGAGTTATTATTCAAATCTGTTTAATAAATCAAGAGACGGCGATGACTTCGGTGAATGTGAGGAGACGACAGAGGTGAGGAGACGATCGAAGGTGATTGCTTTGGAGATGAAGATTTTAGGGGAAAGTGGAAAGGACGGAGGGCTCGACTTTTTGGGGGAAATGTGGAGAGAAGTGAGTTTTAATTTTCAATTTTTGCTTCTTTTTTTTTTTTTTTTTAAATGCCACATCAGGTTGTAACTCGACATTGTCAACTACTGTTGTACGAGTAGTATGATTTTTATTTTATTTTATTATGCAATATGGTTCAAATTCCACTGATTTCATTGGGTCTACTGAGTATAACACATTCTCATAGATCATTTCTACACAGTGGTGGGACATTATCACATTATCTAATGAATAAAAAATCATTTAAACTTCATCGCCAGAATCCACTCATCACAATGATGAATAGAAATGACTTGAAATATGGCAGTTATCTTGAGATTGCAGTAATGTAAGAGATATGTAAAGATTTGAAGATTCTAATTCCTTAGATTGTGAAATTACTCCATAGGAGTAAGTTTCATGTTCTTTCCGGAGTTTATTTCTTAATTATCTTAGAACCCGTGCTCTGTTTGTTGATAAACTATAAGGAAAAGGGAGAATCTAAGAACCAATCACAACCATCCACCTCAGCACTAGTAACTCATTCACTGCATCGTATCCTCTCTCACAGTCACTACTCAAATTTCTAAACACCATCGCTCCACACTTCTCCCTTCAAACCAACCCTTCTCTTCGATTCCAATCTTTCTGTACTCAAAAATGTCACTCACAATTCCTTCAAACCTTTCAAAGCCTATTTCTTTACCAAAATTGGGCACAAAACAAATGGGCGCAACCATTATTTGCCAAGCTAATTCTCCTAACCAGAGTACGTCATCTGATTCAAGGTCAGAGCAATCGCTTAAGGCCTTTTCTACTGCGATTGCGCTATCGTCGATTCGGTTATCGGCACCAGTGCTACCAGCATCGGCTGACATATCGGGATTGACGCCGTGCAAGGAGTCGAAGCAGTTTGCCAAGCGTGAGAAACAGGAGCTAAAGAAGCTCGAGTCTTCCTTAAAGCTTTATGCTCCTGAAAGTGCTCCCGCTCGGCCGCTCTTGCAATCAAGGCCACTATGGAGAAGACAAAGCGGAGGTAGTCAATCAATTCTTTCATGTTTTGTTGTGGATAAACTAAAATAGATTCAAGATTTGCTTGAAGTAATTATTTGATCTTGATGTAAGAAAATATCAAATGTTTTTGAAGATAAGAGTCTAAAATTTAAAAAAAGAAAGATGTGCATCTTGCTATCACCTATGAAAGTGATTAAAAGTGCAGAGTCATTTAGGAATGTCTTGGATCACTTCCATTTATGAAATCCCAACTTTGTGATACGATGCATGTTTGAGAATTATGGGAAGCAAGGTCTGTTGTGTGGATCAGATGGTTTGCCTCACTTGATAGTGAGCGGGGACCAGAGACACTCGCGTGAATTCATAACCCCAGGGATTCTGTTCTTGTACATTGTTGGATGGATTGGGTGGGTCGGTAGGAGCTACTTGATCGCCATCAGGGACGACAAGAAGCCAACGCAGAAGGAGATCATCATTGACGTTCCATTGGCCAACAGGCTTATCTGGAGAGGCTTCAGCTGGCCCGTTGCTGGTTACAGAGAGTACTTGAATGGGGAACTCATCGACCCAAATGTCTAAATATACAACTTTTTCAGGTAGAAATATTGACTATGCATATGATTATTATAGGACTAGTTTCCCATAAATTTGGAAAGATTTCTTGTTGGATTCATTGATGTTATTATTTCTAAAGTTGTTAATCTGGCTCTTCTTACGTTACAGGAATGAGCCTGGAAGGCAGGCTTTACTTGTGGCATTCATTCTTGTGTCTAATATCAACTTTTTTTACTTGTATTTATGCTTTTATTTGAATCTGGAAATCAATGAGAATCCCTTCTGTTTTTTCTTTATCGTTTCACACCTATGCATGGTCAACTAGAGTGAAATAAAAAGAAATTCCTCAATTCATACCTTCGTATGAAAGAATATACAGTTTATAATAATCTGAGAATTTTTCCTCTGTAGTCGAAGCTTCAAGGTTTAACATTGCCAAGAACAAGAATTGAATAATTATCAATAAAAACTTGAAACTAACACAACAGAGGAACTGAAAAATTCGAATGGTTTATCCTTCAACATCTTCAAGGTACAAAATTAAGTTCTTACAGTTTGTACCTTGCTTGTTGACGGACAAATTTCTCATGTGCATCTACAAATGTATAATTCTGGATGGCTGTACTCGAAAAATGGCATCGGTAGCTCATTTAGAGTGATTCGTGCGAGAACACAACTGGATAATATACAGAACCATGCATAGGATCAAATAATATGCCCAAAAAGGCGTTTTGCAAAGTAACATCACAATGAACAGAAAATCTGTGATTGCCTGTACATATTGAATGGATATCTAGACACTAAGGCCAATACTAAACTTCTACAAAGTTGCCTAGGAAAACTGGAGAATCTCGAATCCCCAAGAATAGGAGAATTAAAAGAGATTCACGGAGCAAAACAATTGCTGACCAATTACAATTGCTATTGAGAGCTCCATTATACACAATCAATTTGCACTATTTCTTTATACCTTTACAAAATGAAACCTTCTGGGAGCGAGGTTTCTAAACCATCTCCTATTTAAAGTGCTTATTGGGGAAGTTCAGCTCAAGGCATGCTTACATTTACATACAATACAGATCTCCATGTATGTCAAATCAGATAGAAGTAATCAATAGATTTCCATCGCCACACCAAATTTGCGTCAAACCAGCAAAGTGCATGAGAGAAGTATGATTTGGTTTTCATTGGATCGTTCTGGTCAGTTTGCATTTTGAAATGAAGATAGTATCCGAATAATTCAGACTACAGAGCTTCAAAAGCTCAGCTGCCTGCTGCTTCAGAACAGGACTGCAACCACTCTGGATGACAAGAAGAAGCTTCGCTGCAACACCCCTATCAACAGCTATTAATGAGCATTCCTGGGGGGAAAGTTTGCATATGGACAACAAGATTGAAAGTGCATATGTTGTACAGCTTTCTGAAATTCTCATAAGTAGTTTGACCATACTAGGTATAGTGTGGGAACAATCCTTCAAAGCTTGTCTCCCTGCAGGCACAGAGGACAAGATATCCAAAATGAAAAGGGCTATTTCCAAACATTCTGGATTTAATCCAGATAACAATTCCACCAACTGAGGGATAGCTCCAACACTCACAATCAAACTCCTAACTTCCTTATGTACGCAAATCAATTTGAGAAGACCAAGCCCAGGCAAATGTCCATTAGGGTGTTTCTTATCCCTCACTAGCCTCATCAAAGCAACCAACAAGCTATGGCTTGATACAATTTCTGTTCTAAAATCTTCCCCCTCCATTAATGTTTCAATCAACTTAACACAATTGACTTTTGTTTCAATGGATCCTTCATTCAAAATATCTATAATTGATGACACCTTTGCAGGTTGCATCAAATTCATTTTTGATTCAGAATTTAGAGATAAGTTCACAAGAATGGCAATAGTTTCTGAACCTACAGCGTAGGAAGTAAACGGACCAAGCAAAGAAGACAGAAGAGCCACCCCACCTTCATCGACCACTGCCTTCCTAGCAGTCGAATGAGAAGCTGCAACTTGTTGCAGCTCCTTGAGGGCTTGAATTCTAGCCTGGCCCTTTACCTTCTTCAGGGTATCAACTAGCTCTGATGCCCTTCCATGTGCATCTTCAGATCTTTTCTTCATTTGCACATACTTCTGCGAAAACCAAGTATAGATCAAATGGTAAAGGGTCCTGTTAGGCGTGACAGTATCATCCCAAAGTTCTTGCATGGTAGTAGGGCAAGTATAATGCCCCAAATTAAACCATTTGAGAATGTTGGACCTCTCATAGGTTTGCCCGGTACAAAGGGTAACCGGGTCTTGCATCGTCTCCAGAGAAATAGGGCAAATGAACACTGACGGAACTTCAGATAGATTTAGCTCTTCAATCAGTTTCTTCAGATCCAACTTCTCTCCAAGCCCTCCAACAATACCCACAACTCCACCTCCACCCAAGACTCCATCTTTCACAGCAGTTTCTAGATCTAGAACATGCCCATTACTGCCACTGTCAAACCCAAGCCCTTCCCTCTTTGAAGGACGAAACGTAGGCATCTTGGGCGAAAACTACCGAATTATTGAAATATGCAATTTACAGACTTTGAAGAGACCCACGACTGGCGCACATGAGGTGTGAGAAAAGATGAAGAGAGAAGGAAAATTGAACTCCCTCTATATCGCTTTCCAATGATAAAAACAGCCAAAAATTTTCTGTTTCAAAGAAGGGTGTGTGTCTTCTATTTTCTCTCTCTCTCTTTTCACTTTTTCTTATTTTATCTTTTCAGTGGTCAAAAGACATCGCCATCATCATACAACACATCATAGAGCATTCATAATCAACTCTCTTATCCAAAAATCAAATCTTTCTTCTCATTCAAGCCTCAAAAGGAGTTTAATCATAGAAAACATTGCACAATATGTAAATCCGGACTAAACCAAGATACCAAAAAAATAAAATAAAATAAAAATAAATTTTAAGCAAAAAACGAAACAAAAAGGAAAAATTAATTGGACTCGTAACTAAAAAACCTGTGAAAATGGGTATTCAGAGGCAATCGGCCACAAGAAAGAGAGAGAAATTGGAGCGAAGAAGAGAAAGGGCTTCTCCAGCAAAGGCTCCAGAGTCTTGACTGTAGACAGAAAATAAAATATAATATCCTAATTTCTATGTAAAAAGTAAAAAAAAAATATATAAAGATCTCAATTTCACTAATGACTACTGAAATTTGCATTTAGTGTCATCTTGGTCGCTGAAGCTTAATTTGTTTCAGACTCATCATCGAACTTTGCAAAACATTTCATTCTCACCACCCATTCAGTTTGAAGTCCTTCTTGAACTGAACATATGTGCCAAGTTGTCAAGATGTTACGGTTTTCAAATCCTACAACTAAAAATGAATATCAAACTTTGGCCTCCATATTAGACGTCGTTTAGTACTCATTTATGTAAGAATGAAAATGAAAAATATAGATATTATGGGACACACATAAGAGATAAAAAAAATCAAATATAGTAACTTGATGTGATGGATAAGAGTCATATTTTTATTTTTTTGGCCAAAGAATGAGAATTAAACAAGGACTTAATTAGATTATGGGATATTTTGAAATAGTAAAATATATGAAAATATGTGGTTAAAAAGGAAGAAAAGATTTTGAATTTACATGTAATATTATTTTAATAGAGAATGTGCAATTAAAATAAGATGAAGAAAAATGAATTATAATTTTAATAGAGTCTAGAAAGGGATGAAAAATTTAGTAATGAATGCGACATTTTAAAGTTAAGCAATGAGTTTGCACAGTAAATTAAAATTTAATTGTCAAGGTGATATTAAATGCAAAGTTGAATTGCTGTTAGGTAAATTACACGTACATAATATTTTTTGGAAGTGGAGGGTTGAAAATTGACATTAAAAAGGAAAAAAAAATAATAAAAAATAAATAAATAGAGGTCGGAGTTTGTGGTTGGTCCCACAAAAGGCAAATTTTGTAGTGGAAAGTGCCAGCAAGGCAGTGCGACCATGGTGACAGTTTCGCTTTGACTGTACCCATCTAGGCCTTTTCCCATGTATCTTTGATTGGACTGCTTTTCGACTTGCTTCCAATTGCTTGCTGCCACGTTTCAAATTGTTCTTCTATTTCTTTGGCCTTTACTATATATAGAGAATTTTAATAAATATCACTTAATTTGAAAACGCGCAAAAAATTATTTCATTTGCACTAAATATGATGAAAAATATCACTTTTTTGTTGTGAAGGTCCATATTATTCGTAGTGACATTTTAGGAATATTTAATGCTTGATTTGAAAGTCATTAATGTTGTAATGTAATTATTTGTTTTATATATTATGAATTTTAGAAATATCATTATTATATTCGATACTATGAATTTTGGTTAAAAAAAATGAATTTGAAATTAAAAAAAAAACAAAAAACACATAACTTCTTACCATTCACAAACCCCAACTTCTTATCCATATTCTTCATTTCATCGTCAAGAAGACATTACTATTTGATTCATCATCCATTTTTCAGATGTTAGCTATTAGAAATTATTTATATTTTCATTTTATAGCACTATTTTAAATGTTAAATAGAATATAGTCATATTTATTTGAAATTTTTGAAACTCTTATTCATTGATTTGTTTTATTTTTGATTTATTTTTTAGGAGAAATTATATCAACATCATTTAGAAAATGTGAAGAATTCCTTAATTAATGAAGTATTGAGTTCTTTCTTATTTATTTTTGCCAAAAGAAAGAGAGAGAAATTGGAGCGAAGAAGAGAAAGGGCTTCTCCAGCAAAGGCTCCAGAGTCTTGACTGTAGACAGAAAATAAAATATAATATCCTAATTTCTATGTAAAAAGTAAATAATATTTTGAATAATTTCTTCCAAAGTACAAATACATGTTTTCAAGCTTTCTAGCAATTTCGTCAGTTCAACTATCGAATTCAATATTTAGAAATCGTCATATTAGATATCTCAACTGTCGAACTCAACATTTAGAAATTATCCGGATAGATAATTTAACTGTTGAGATTCAACAATTCATTTCACTTTTTGTTATTGAATAGATTTAAATATTAACAAGTGTCACTTTCATGCTATTAAATATAGACATATTAATTGTACAAAATTCTTATCGTTGTAATATTAACATTTCAGGTATTAGTAATCATTTGATATTCATAATGTCGCATTGTGAAAAATTTATTGATGTGAATGACTAATGAATGTGGAGAGTAGACAAAATCACGTTCGTTTTAGTTCCGAAAAGTATTACTCTATGCACTCGTTATGGTAGAGTTGGTCATAACCGGGCCACGTGTTCCAACCCCATTTTGTTTCAGACTCATCATCGAACTTTGCAAAACATTTCATTCTCACCACCCATTCAGTTTGAAGTCCTTCTTGAACTGAACATATGTGCCAAGTTGTCAAGATGTTACGGTTTTCAAATCCTACAACTAAAAATGAATATCAAACTTTGGCCTCCATATTAGACGTCGTTTAGTACTCATTTATGTAAGAATGAAAATGAAAAATATAGATATTATGGGACACACATAAGAGATAAAAAAAATCAAATATAGTAACTTGATGTGATGGATAAGAGTCATATTTTTATTTTTTTGGCCAAAGAATGAGAATTAAACAAGGACTTAATTAGATTATGGGATATTTTGAAATAGTAAAATATATGAAAATATGTGGTTAAAAAGGAAGAAAAGATTTTGAATTTACATGTAATATTATTTTAATAGAGAATGTGCAATTAAAATAAGATGAAGAAAAATGAATTATAATTTTAATAGAGTCTAGAAAGGGATGAAAAATTTAGTAATGAATGCGACATTTTAAAGTTAAGCAATGAGTTTGCACAGTAAATTAAAATTTAATTGTCAAGGTGATATTAAATGCAAAGTTGAATTGCTGTTAGGTAAATTACACGTACATAATATTTTTTGGAAGTGGAGGGTTGAAAATTGACATTAAAAAGGAAAAAAAAATAATAAAAAATAAATAAATAGAGGTCGGAGTTTGTGGTTGGTCCCACAAAAGGCAAATTTTGTAGTGGAAAGTGGCAGCAAGGCAGTGCGACCATGGTGACAGTTTCGCTTTGACTGTACCCATCTAGGCCTTTTCCCATGTATCTTTGATTGGACTGCTTTTCGACTTGCTTCCAATTGCTTGCTGCCACGTTTCAAATTGTTCTTCTATTTCTTTGGCCTTTACTATATATAGAGAATTTTAATAAATATCACTTAATTTGAAAACGCGCAAAAAAATATTTCATTTGCACTAAATATGATGAAAAATATCACTTTTTTGTTGTGAAGGTCCATATGATTCGTAGTGACATTTTAGGAATATTTAATGCTTGATTTGAAAGTCATTAATATTGTAATGTAATTATTTGTTTTATATATTATGAATTTTAGAAATATCATTATTATATTCGATACTATGAATTTTGGTTAAAAAAAAATGAATTTGAAATTAAAAAAAACAAAAAATACATAACTTCTTACCATTCACAAACCCCAACTTCTTATCCATATTCTTCATTTCATCGTCAAGAAGACATTACTATTTGATTCATCATCCATTTTTCAGATGTTAGCTATTAGAAATTATTTATATTTTCATTTTATAGCACTATTTTAAATGTTAAATAGAATATAGACATATTTATTTGAAATTTTTGGAACTCTTATTCATTGATTTGTTTTATTTTTGATTTATTTTTTAGGAGAAATTATATCAACATCATTTAGAAAATGTGAAGAATTCCTTAATTAATGAAGTATTGAGTTCTTTCTTATTTATTTTTGAAAAGATGTTGTGATGTTACAGTTAAGAATTGATTATCACCATCAATATTTTGAATAATTTCTTCCAAAGTACAAATACATGTTTTCAAGCTTTCTAGCAATTTCGTCAGTTCAACTATCGAATTCAATATTTAGAAATCGTCATATTAGATATCTCAACTGTCGAACTCAACATTTAGAAATTATCCGGATAGATAATTTAACTGTTGAGATTCAACAATTCATTTCACTTTTTGTTATTGAATAGATTTAAATATTAACAAGTGTCACTTTCATGCTATTAAATATAGACATATTAATTGTACAAAATTCTTATCGTTGTAATATTAACATTTCAGGTATTAGTAATCATTTGATATTCATAATGTCGCATTGTGAAAAATTTATTGATGTGAATGACTAATGAATGTGGAGAGTAGACAAAATCACGTTCGTTTTAGTTCCGAAAAGTATTACTCTATGCACTCGTTATGGTAGAGTTGGTCATAACCGGGCCACGTGTTCCAACCCCATTCTAGCACAACTCATGTAAATAAGCTAGACGGTTAAAAGTAGTTGAAGTTGTATTCTGAATGTTCCCTTGATAGTGTTGTATATTCTGAAATTATATTATTATTTTCATTTTATTATTGTTTGTAGACATTAGTCGTGTTTAAGTTCACAAGTAAAATAATTATATAGACAAAATTTGCATATCATCTGACAGAAAGATTCTATCATCCTCGACAGATGGTTGCAAAGTAGAAAATTTGACTAAAAAAAAAAGTATAAGGGACATGCTGTTCCCGAACACATTCTCAACTTACATTATTATTAGCATTTTATTATCATTTGCAGATATTACATAAAATCTTGACAGTTAAACTATCGGTCCCAACAGAAGGTTTTTGTCATTCTCGACAGTTGTTGCGAGTAGAAAATATAACTACAAATAAGATGCATAAGGGATAAGTTGTCGCGGAACATACATGACTCAACAATTTTTCTCGTGCTAATTGAACAATCCAGCAAGTATGAGAAACGAGAAATGATAAAATGTGTAACCACATGTGGATGCAACCACCCAATTATGTTTATAATTCATTATTGGGAGGAAGCAAAATGAGGTCGTTTAGTACACAAATCAACTCTAATGTAGTATTAACAAATTTTATCATACTATTGCTTTACTCTCTTTCTCCTCTCCTTAATGTATGAAGTCCTAGTAGATGTTGCAAAAAATCGAATGTCTGTCGATCATTGCTTCTTTGTGTTAACAACATCGTTACTTTCGATGGGGTATGTTAGGCACCTTCGT